CTAAGGGCAAGGCCTTGAAGAGTTTTACTCAGATTAAAATTAAAATGAAAGGATTTCTCTGGCAGCATTGGAGGGAATAAATTGGAATGTGCAAAAATGGATGCATGTGGAGTACTAAGGACTTTGCTACAGTCTGAGCAAGAAAAGTTAATTTGGTGTGGACTGTAGAGGCACAGTAGAGGATCAGAGAAGTAGGTAGATTTGAGACTTAGGAGGCTTACTGATAGGTGTTGGTGATACAATCATTCCATATGGTGGATCAGGAAGTGAGGTATTGGGAATGACTCCAAGGTTCTGGAGGGATTGTGCCCTTCCCTGAGATAGAGAATGTTGGAAGACAATCAGGTCTGCAAGTGGAAGATTATAAGTTTGTCTTCGGAAATTATGAGTGCATTTGAAACTCTTTTTCTTGACTTATTTTAAACTGTTTTATCCAGCTCCCATTGCTTTTTCTCAGCCAGTGCCTTCTGCAGCTCCCCACAAGTCATCTCTGTCCTTTCACTCCCACCCAATGTAAATGTTAGTACTCTCCATGGTTTTGATCTGAGCATCCAGCAACTTTAGTCACTAAACCTGGGCTGTCCAATAGAGTGGTCGTATGTAGCTACTGAGCACTTAAAATGTGGCCAGTCCAAATTGAGATGCGCCATGTTAAATACACATAGGATTTCAAAGACATATATTGAAAAATAATGAAAAACAAAATCATTAGTAAGATTTTTATATTGATTATATGTTGAAATGATAGTATTTTGGATATATTGGGTTAGGTAAAATATGTTATTACTTTCTTAATGTGGGTACTAGAAAATTTTAAATTGCATCTGTGGCTCATTGTACATTTCTAGAGGACAGTGCTGCTCCAGTGACCCTACCTTCACCTCATGCCTGTCTACTTGAGCCCACAGAGCTGCTTACTTTCCCCAGAATACTGTACATCACTTTATGCCTCATACCCTCCTTTTCCTAAACTTTTGTTCGTCCCTTCTTTCCTACCAGAGTAGATATGATTCCTAATTCTTTTTTCAGAGCGAATATCTCCTCTGCTATATGAAACTTTCCTAATTCCTTAAGGTAGAATTACACATTTCTGCCTCAGAGTCTTATATGCTCTGTTAATATTTATTGTAAGCTAATTCACATGATTAAATGTAGTTATTTATTCTTTTGTCTCTCTAGCCAGACTGTAAGTGACTGAAAAGTGCAGTTGCAATTTGATTTATGTCTATAATTAGGTAACCAGGTTCTCAGTACCAGGTTGTTGCTCAGTGAAAGTCTGGTGAATAACAATGGAATCTACATGTATTAAAAGCTATCATGTGACTGGTTATGACTTAGATGTTTTACAGACAATATCTTGAATTCCCTCAACAACCCTATAAGGTAGATATAATTATCTTCATTTTGCATATGGGATCTTGCAAAAGCTCAAACTGTTAGTAAATGATAGAGGGGATTCAACCAGACTTGTTTATTTCTGTGATTCCCTGCATGTTGAAAATGGATTAAAAAGTGGAGATTATATTCCTACATCATGGAATGGGGAAAAAATATCCATTTCCTAAGATTGTTGAAAGATTAAATGAGATAATATATATAAAGTGTCAGACAGTGCTGGAACTAGTAGGTTTTAGTAAGCATTGGCTTTCTTTCATCTTGAGGCCCATGGCATAGGCATCTTTAATTTCTGAGGAGGACCAAATTCTGAGGTCTATAACCTACTCAATGCCCCTACACATACTTACACTCATGTTCATACATATTCACACTTATGTGGAAGTCATGAGAAACAGAGTCTTCTAGGGGTTTCCAATTTAACCCAGTCTTCCTTGTATTTGCTTAAGATAGTTGAGTAGGGTGAAGTAGAGAAATTGTAAATACTACTGGGGACATTCAATCTGTGTGTGTGTTTGTGCATAAGGTTGAGGCAGGAATAATAGCACAAAAGGAATCAAGCTTGGAGTCTTATGAGGGTTTGGTGCCTTGGTGAATTCCCAGAAAATAATTCTGTGTAGCACTCTGACTCTTCTCTTCCTATGCTATCTTACCCAGCTATGGTTACAATCAGGACCCCTTCCTTTACCAAGTCAGGAATCTTAGTAGGAAAGGGACAGGGTAAAGTAAAAGGGATAAATAAACATTAAGTGTAGGCCAATACTGGTCTGCAGGTCCTATGTTGAAATGCTGGCTCCTGAGAAGTAAATTTAAGCAGATGAAATGTGAAGATAGGTTGCGAGGGGGGCTGTGTTCAGGTAAGGGAAAGTAATCCTTCCATAACCTTTAGATCCCTGCAATTCCCCTGAAAAAGTAATATTAAGAAATCTCCCAGTTGGATTGGTCCTGGACCAAGGTTAAAGGAAGCTCACAAGCTCAAGGGTAAGGTAGTTGCTTCTCTTGACTCTCCTGGTTCACACATTTCACGTTAACAACAGAACCAATGCCTTGTCCATAGTTAGAGGAAACTTTCTCACCAGGCTGTGCTCTTCTTTGTTTTAGATCAAACAGATAAGTACCAGGTAGGGCAGAGCTTCCACTACTTAAAAAAACTCAAATTCCCCTCCAAATAATATGTATATAATATATATACATAATATATTTTAAAGCTATCTGATCCATATAGAAGGGATAGGGAATGACTAGAACAAAAGAAATTGGGCTTATTATTATTATTATTATTATCATTATTATTTGAATGGTGTGTTTTAGCTCTCAAACAACTTTTTTGAGTATATGGATTATGTCTTCAAATTCCCTGTATTTACTTCCTTACCCTCCACATAGCATGTATCTGGTGTTATTTGCTGAGAGCAGGAAACAGTCCCCCATACGCGGTAGAACTGACAAGGAGATTCCAACCTGAGTGGACAGCACAAGGAGTGGTAAGGAAAAGACATTTTGAAGTGAACATTTGGAGTCTTTAGGCAACTGAAACAATGTTCTGTAGTACTTGAATCAAACTTTGAGAGAAGACAACACTTCAAATTTAGGGAGAATCTGATATTATGTAGAGAAACTCCATGGCCAAGAAGGTATATAAAATAAGGATGGTAATTACCTGACTGCTCCAGAAAATTTAATCTATATAGAAAAAATAACTGTTTTTAATTTTAAAAAGAAAAACTTAAGTTGATTTATCTCCCAGATTAACATGCACTCAGGAGGATAACCAGAAGGTACTTTTAAATTCCATCCACTCCGATGCCACAGCATCATAAACTCTCACAAGCAGCTGACTTTCAGACAAATCACCTGATTCTGAGGAAACTCAGATTTTAAGGGAAATCATCTGATTTTCCCTTTGCTTTGATTCATTGTGAGCCTGGGCACATTTTGAGGGGAGCTGATTTGGCTCTTTTCCTTTTGCAATTGGTTAGAATCAACAGCCTTTAAAGTAGTGCCTCTACCATATCAACAGAATTACTCTAATTACTGTGTCCCTTCCAAAATCACAAGTCTCTGGGAGAACTGAGGCTTTAACATTAGTGAAAATCCCTTTGTTCCCCTCAATCTGGGATCTGGGAGAAGATTTATCTCAACTTCCTGTCCCATTTTACTGTTGGTTAATACAAAGATGGAGAGAAGAGAGAAATTTGTAATTTGAATGAAATTTTAAATAGCAAGTATTCATTAACTCAAACACAAGAATATTCAGAAACCTTCCTTAACATAAGAGGTACATGTATGTATATAAAAAACTAGAAGCAAACACACCCAAAATTAATAGTAGTAATAGACAGGTAATTACCATTTTTTTATATGTGTGCTTTTCAATATATGGTGAATTTTCTTCAAGATACATTATTTTGATAAACAGAAGAAGTTAGTATTATAAGAATAGAAATTGTAATCAATAGCCACTCTCCTTTCTCCTATCAACGTGCCACTGGCCCAGAAGCCTGAGAAACCTGAAGAGCCATGTTCCTGTGAGTGATTTTGAGGTGGGGTTTGGGCAGGCCAGGTAACTTCTCTGGGACTCAAGTTCCTCTCCTGTGAAATGTAGGAGTTGGAGGTCAATGGTTTAGTTCAGTTCTATAATGCCTGAATTCTGTAATGGGCCTGCCACATACTAAACTGTATTAATTAAAAATGCTCCTAGCTTCCAGTAACAGACACCTTGACTAATGGTGGCTTACATCATAAGATTCTTGTTGAATAAATAGAATGTTTGAAGGTAAGTAGTCCAGGACTGGATCAGTAGCTCAATGACACTTTAAAATATTTTATGAGTCGTCCTCTTCAACTCTTGGCATTCATATAGAGACCATTGCTCATGGTTACAAGATAGCTATCACATCCCCAAGCAGGAAAGGAGACAGAGCCTTCTTTTTTGCACCCAGTCCAACTCTGCACATCTTATTTGTCAGAACTGAGCCAAGGAACCAACCTAATTAGTGGCAAAGGGGAGGGAGATTCCAGACTTGTATTAGACCAATTATCATTCATCCTACACCCCTGAGGGCAAAGAATAGCTGTCTAGTGACTTGAACAGATCAGACTTCTACAATAGAAAAGGAAAGAGGAGAGAAGATGGTCATTGGGTGGGAAACAAATGTGTCTGCCATAAGCACTTAAGATTTGTTGAACTAATGAGTGAGGACACATTATAACTTTTATGGATCCTAACAGCTTTTGCCTTTGTATGCCCCTTCCTCTATAAAAAAAGTTAAAAATTATATTTTACAACTGAGTTGGTATAAAGACAAATATAATCCTGGATTCATTGTTATATATTCATTATTACTCTGTTTATTTTTTATTCTGGTTTTGAAAATTAAAAAGGAAACATTTTTGTGCACCCTAGAATTGTGTCTACTGTGTTCAGTGGCTATTTTAACTCTGGGTATATTGTCTTTCCAACCGGATTGTAAACACTTGAGGGCAGTGACTGTGTGCTTGACTTTGTTGAGGCCTTCAAAGCTCCTATGGCATCACTATATGTCTAAGAGCTGCTCAGCAAATTCTGTTGAGTTAACCTAACTTATCACTGTTTCTTCTTCTAGGGTGAGCCAGGTCCTCCTGGTCCTTATGGTCCTCCAGGAGCCCCTGGTACTGGACAGCAAGGTATTAAGGTAAAAATTCTTATCTCTTTGCCTATTGATGATTATTGAATTGGTTGATGGGGATCGGAGAGTTGTGACTTGGACTTTGCTCAGCTACCACAAGAATAATCAACGTATTTTTTGATTTGGTTGGAATGAACATTTATCTTGTCTCTAAATATCTACCATCTTGCCATTGTTGACTTTTCATGGATTTTAAATGTTAACATGTAAAAATGTTTTTAGGATGTGAAACATCTTAACACATCGACTACGACCTATTCACATTAAATAAGTGTAGAGGAGCAGAAACCAGGACAATGGTACTGAATGAGTACATGTTGACAGAAAGCTTTGTAGGGAGCTAGAAAGGACTGGAACACCCAACACCCTGGTATATTCTGCATCAAGCAGGATGTAATAGAGCAGAAGTACTTATTTTAAATGGCTTTTCTAGATCATTAGGTCAAGAAGACTTTGATGCAGGACTAAAACAGAGAGCAGCACAAAACAGTGCACTTGTAATGTATCAAGTGTTAACCACAGACAGCATTTACATGATAAGCACATAGAGAATTCATGGAAGGTAGAGTTTATATTGGCAGTTAGTGGAGAAAGATTCTGAAGGACAGCAAGTGTCACACTGAACTGAAAGGAGAGTGACATGGAACAGAGTGAGGACACAGAAGGGGCAACATCCCAGGATGGTGGTGAGGGGGCAGGGAACAGCACACACATGGCTAGCTGAGTTATCGCAGTAACGAAAATGAACTGAATACAGTCCATCCTGCCAATTTCTTCACAATTGTTTCTGAGAGCTGAAAGTGCCATATTGCCTTCAGAAGGAAGGGATGATAAACATTTTAAGATAATTTGTTCACTTAAATTCAAGCCATTTCTCCTCCATAATTTTTTTTATCTTTGTGAATGTGAAAAGTTTATTTTGCTACTTATCTTTGTTGCATGCTCCAGAGTATTTTGTACCATATTTATTCTTTATTTAAAAACTGAAACTTTCATTTGATTGTTTCCCTGTCTAGGGGGAAAGGGGACAGGAAGGAAGAACAGGGGCTCCAGGACCAATTGGAATTGGTGAGCCAGGCCAGCCAGTAAGTAGCAAGAAATTCTAGATGGAATAAAAATAACAAATATAGTTCTTCTGTGCTCTTTCAGGTTTCACTAAATGGTTAAATTAAGCCATCTTGCACCTTTTTGGATAATAAATGATAATAAATATGCAAGGACCAGATCCAAGTACTATTTTGCATAATACATGAAACAGGGCCACACACAGAAATATGGTATGTGCAACTGGCTCTCTCTTACTGTGATCTCTTACAAGATTAATCAGCATATTTAAGAATAAAAGAGTTCTCATGTGCCAAAGTTTCCTAGGAGATAGGGGAAATGGATTCAGGCCTAATATCCATACTTGGTAACTGATTTTCCTGAAACTATGAGAAAATCACTGAAATAAGGATGTAGCTCATTACCTAATCAAGAGTAAACACTAAAACTAGGATTGATGAAGGTGGTCAGATAATACCTGTGTTATTCACAGCTTCCACCTTATGTAGCTTTGAAGTTTACTATTTTGGGAGAAGAAAAAACATTTCTATCAAAAAATATCTGGAGAGAAAATAAATAAAACATGACTGTTTTGATATAGAAATGTTCTTAACTTTTCAAGTAATCATTATTCTCCTAGAAAAGAACAGTAGCCAACTCACTGGGGTACAAATAAAAACAAATGGCAATCTCTATCAATATTTCATTGGCACTTTTGACAGAAGTAGAACAAAACAATCTAAAAATTTGAATAGAACCACAAGAGACCCTGAATAGCCAAAACAATCTTGAGAAAGAAAAACAAAGCTGGAGGCAGCAAGCTCCCTGATGTCAAACTGTATTATAAAGCTATAGTAATCAGAATGGTATGGTATTGGCATCAAAACAGATCCACAGACCAATGGAGCAGAACAGTGTCCAGAAGTAAACATATGCATATATAGTCAATTACCTTAAAACAAAGGAGCCACAAGTATACAGTGGGAAAGCACAGTCTCTTTAATAAATGGTGTTGGGAAAACTGGACAGCTACATATAAAACAATGATGTTGGACCATCTCCTTACACCTTAAACAAAAATTAACTCAAAATAGATTGAAGCTCTGAAACCATAGAACTCCTAGAAGAAAATATTAGTGGTAGGGTCCTTGACATAGATCTTGAGATTTTGAATCTGATACCAAAAGAAAAAGGAACAAAAGGAAAAATAAATAAGCAGGACTACATCAAACTAAAAATGTACACAGCAAAGGGAAACCATCAACAAAATAAAAATGCAACCTACTGAATGGGAGAAAATATTTGCAAGTCATATATCTGATAAGAAGCTAAAATCTAAAATGTATAAAGAATTCATACAACCTAAGAGCAAAAAACCAAACAATTCATCAAAAAATAGGCATAAGACCTAAATAGATATTTTTCCAAAAAAAAACATACAGGTGGCCAACAGGAACATATAAAAGATCTCAGCATCATTAATCATCAGGGAAATACAAATCAAAACCACAATGAGATATCACCTTATACCTGTTAGAATGACTATTACCAAAAAGATAAGAAATAACAAGTGTTGGCATGTATGTTGAGAAAAGGGAACCCCCGAGCACTGTTGGTGGGAATATATATTGGTGCAGCCACAGTGGAAAACAGAATGGAGGTTCAACAAAAAATTAAAAATAGAATACCATATGATCCAACAATTCCACTTCTGAGTATTTAAAGGAAATGAAAGCATGCTCATTGCAGCACTATTTACAATTGCCAAGATAGGGAAACACCTAAGTGTCCATTGATGATTGAATGGATAAAGAAATTGTGGTATATATATATATATATTATATACAGTGGGATACTATTCAACTACATAGAAGAATGAAATCTTGCCATTTGCAATGGATGGATCTGCAATGGATGGATCTCACAGGCATTATGCTAAGTGAAATAAGTCAGAGAAAGACAAATACCACATGATCTTTCTTATATGTGGAATCTTAAAAAAAGAAAACGGCAAGTTCATAGATACAGAGAACAGATTGCTAGTTGCCAGAGACAGGGTGGAGATTGGGAGAAATGGGTGAATGAAGTCAAAAGGTTAAAAAAAAACCCCAAAAACCTCAATAGGAAAAGATTATTAGGGAAAGACAATGAAAAAAAACAACACAGTACAACTGATTGTGAATAGTTGGTCTCCCAATGTGGATTGGCACTGAACAGTTCCTTGCAATAAAATGATAACAGAAATATATGCCTCCCTGCTATACTCTGGGAATGAAATGGCAACATATTGCTTGAGGGTTAGACTTTCCTAATGTCTGAATATGCTAATTCAAAGAAGAGAGTATCGTATGGAGGAAAGATATACCAGACTAATTATCTAGAGATTGGTAATCTAGGCTCAGTTTTTGCTAACTTGACTGTGCTCTTAAAGGTACATCACTGAGGAAGAAGAAAACAAGTTCTGCTGTAGACACTGCTGGTTCTTTACTGCAAAGGCTGGAAACCTAGAAAACTGAAGGGACATCAGCTAACAAGGCAAGGCCCAGTTAAGCTGCCATGTGTAGTTGGAGTGCAGAGGAGAATTTGCAAAGTTTTTAATGGGAACAATAAAGAATCTTTTCACAAAGCTTTGTATAAATAGGAATAAAAATAAGCTTCATATTTCAAGCAAAGCACATTGTGAACTGTCCAAAAGAACCCTAGAATTTTGAAGCATATACAAGAACTCTTCCACATGCCTACTTATAACTTTATAAATTAATAAGTTATAAGCCCAAACAGCTTTAGTCTTGCTACTGGTTCCTAGGAGAGACTGCATGGCTACACATGGGACAATCCATGGCCACACATGCTCATTTATGAACTGGGTGTTATTTGTTCCTTTAAGAAGTGTGCAGTAGAAGTCCATTACTAATTCCTGAAAACACAAAGAGTTGCATAAATAACTGGTTTATACTCCCTTGGCATCTACTCCATTGTTATTTCTCCCGCAAGCCACATATATATCCCCTGGGCAATATGATAAGTTGGCTAGGGAAGAACAAAATCAAGCACATTATACTGGCCCAGCTGGAAATAGACTCCTGCAAGCATTATGTCTCCTCATGAACACAGAGTATAAGATATTTGTGTCCTATGTGAATGTTCACCAAAGGGCATGCAATTTAGAGAGGGCCCTAAATATGCAAGATGAAGGGTATCAGTCAACCTCTTTTCCCAGTTCCACTACCATCCATTCAGTATTAATGAGTGGCAGGGATAGAGGTTATACATGTAACCAACATGAATTTCCTTTCTACAAAACTAACCTGGATACCACCACTGCTGAGCACCCAACCTGCAAAAGCTACACAGAAGTCTGCTGTCTTCTTTTTTGGAAAAGACCAATCATACCTCTGGTAGTATGTTGAATACACTAGAACTCTTTCATAATGGAGGGGGTGATGATGGCCATAATAGGAAAGGGACAGGCAATTAATCAAGGAAGGATTTGCCACTACTATCCACAATCAAGGAACTATCCACACAACTGAATGTCTTATTCACCATCATTATAATCCCATATATAAGTGCTTTTATATAAACAAATACTTTAAATATGAAATAGATGAGGTAATGCCTCTCTCCCCAAAGTAAACCACTAACTTCTTTGAATGCCTACTTTAGTTACATATTTCTGCATAACAAAACATTGCAAGACTTAATGCCTTAAAACAGTAGTTTGTGATTTCTCATGATTCTGTGGGCTAACTAGGGAGTTCCGTATGTTGTGAAATGAGTTGGAGAGCTAGAATGGCTGGAATGTTAAAAATGGCCTCACTCATATGGCTGTCACTTCTACAAGCTGTTAGCTGGGAGCTAAGCTGGGGCTGTTGTCCAAATCCTCCACATGGAGGATTTTGCTCCACATGGACCTCTACATGTGGTTGCTTGAGCTTCCTCCTAACATGACAGCTTGAATCCAAACAAGAGTGTTCCAACAGGCAGAAACCATGGATCACTTAAGGCTTAGCCTCAGAAATTGTATACCATTTCTGTGATACAGTTGGCTAAAACAGCATAGGACTAGCTCACACTATAATCAACTACAAAAAGAGTTTGTATCCCTATGGGAGAACAGCAGGCAAAGAAATTGTAGACATCTGTAATTCAAAATCATCTCAAAGTTTACTTTTGGTGAAATTAAAAGATTGGGTTTTCCCTACCCCTGTGATTTTCATAGTTGGAAATACAGAAATAAAGTTCTGAAAATGTCAGGAAAAGAAGTCTTAACTTTTTTTCTTCTAATATAAGTGTATAAGTATTTTATTCTGATTGAGCTTTGTGTTTTGTTATTATATACATTTTCTGAAATCATCAATAAACTTAAGAATGAGTTTTACTTTTTCATTCTAGTTCTTAATATGTTTTTAAGTAATGAAATACTTGAAGTGTACTAAAAAGTACAGTGACAGATTAAGTAAACTAACACCAGATAGACAAATCTTAACATTTTGTTATACTTGCTTTAGATTTTCTTTAAAAGACACAAAAATTATGGATACAATAAAGTCTACATATCTCTTCCAGGAAATAGAAGAGGGAGGAACATTTCTTAACTTATTTTATAAGGCCAGTTTTTTCCCTGATACCAAAACAAGACAGTGACAATACATAAGATAATTAAGATAATACATATAGACCAATATTCCTCATGAATATAGACACAAAATCCTTAACAAAATGTTGATAAAAAAGAATTCAGTGATATCATAAAAAGAATTGCACAGCATGACCAAAAGGGGTTCATTCCATGAATGCAAGACTGGTTTATAATTGAAAGTCAGTCAGTTGTAACACATATTAATAAGACTAAAGAAAGATCACCTGATCATATAAAAAAAATACAGAAAAGCACTTGACAAAATTCAAAACCCCCATTAGCCCTGATAAAAACTCTCAGAAACTAGTAATAGAGGGGAATTTCTCAATTTCTTTTTCTTCTTCTTCAATTTCTACAAAAAACCAATGCTAACATTATACGTAATGGTAAAAGATTGGA